ATAAAGAAATTGGGATCTGGGGTGCAGCTCTATGGTAGAGTACATGGGTTTGTTCCCCAGAAAGAGAGAAAGAACAAAAGTGAGAGAGACTGACATGCCCATTCCCTAGAAGGTAAAGCCTATCATCTCTCCCACTTGAGTACCCTACCATGGAAAAGGCAGGGTCATTTAATGTGTAACATCTGCTCTGTAACATCCCCCAGTATACATGATCTGATTTCTCACATCGTACAGTTAAGGCTGGATGAATTTAGTGACTACACAAAGACAAGTGAGGGAAAATAAAGAGTAGTGCTTGCTCAGCTAAGTCCCAAGACCAGTGATATATGAACAATGGTTTGAAATGGTGATTTTTTCAAGTGCTAAGGTCTGGTATAAAAGGTGATCCATTTTAGATAGACATTCTGATGTTGGGATGCTGACTTAGTACAAAAATAGTTAAATAACATTTCAAAGTATGTATGTTGTTAAATCACATAAGAATTCAGAAGTCACATTTATGTATATAAATAAAAGTTTTATGTAAAATTCATGTACACATGCACACAGGAATGTAATAAACATTAGAACACAAAGCTAAACACCCATAACAAATCCTTTATCTTCTCAGGCAGGGTCATATAATCTGCATTTCTCATCCCTAGACTAATTATTGCCTGATATAATGATGAGAAATTAGAAGAAAGACACCCCTGGAAGGTTGATAAGTCATCCAGAAAATTAGATTAGCATGATCAAACTTGTAATAGTTATTGTTACTCATTATAGTAAATCACCTGAAAAGTTGAAAGGAGAAAAGTAAATTGGCATCACTGAGCAATTATACTCATAGTCTTCCATGGTAGATTTTACAGATCATCACTAGTTGTGAGTTCTTTTCATATCTAAAACTGAAGATTTTCATACATTATAGCACCGTTATTATAGTAATCAAAGCCCGTTTATTTGATCATCATCATAATGGAGTACTTGAGGCATTTTCTCCTTTGCTAATTGACAGTTGGTCAGTTAAGAGGTGCTTTTCACAAAATCTTCAATAACCCTAAGGGTTTGAATTGGCTGATAATAAATGCCTAAGAAGCTCCTCCGGTTTTGTAAGTGCATTTGCTGAAACTCTCGACTGCTATTTTCCACTTTCTGGTCAGAAAATTCCTTTGATCTGCCATCCAGCTGCCTCTCACATGTTTCTATCTGTCTCAAGCATTGTAACCCTACTCATCAGAACAATGACACATTACCATTTAGTTATCATCTTCTGATGCCAGAATCTTCTTTAGAAGAAAAGGAAATGCGGAGAGCAGGAAGAGGGTCAAACTGAGCCTCAGATTGCCTTATTTGAAGAATTGCAGTAGGTGATGTGTGGTCAGAATACCAAAGCTTCCGCCCGATTGTTACTTCCACCTTAATTGCACACCTAGGTGCTTTCTGGCAGACCTCTGGCTCACTTCTCAGATGGAGCACACAACCCGGGCCCCAGAATCTCAACACCAGGAATACCAAGTGACTCCCTTCTCTATCACTCTCCCATCACTTTCTAATTTTGTGGTGGTAGTTGGAGGTGTGTGTGAGAAGTGAATCAAACTAAATAAATAAATGAGATTGCTGACTGTAGAAGAATATACACTGTATAAGTTTAATGTATATGAATGTGTTTAAAATATTCTCTCAGTACATTCCTTCCCTAGCAGTTATATGCTCAGTAAATGCTGATAAAAATGAACAAATATGAAAAGGTTGGGCTGTCTTGTTGAAATAAAGCTTTACTATGATTCCTTAATAGTATTATATTTTTAGTAAGCAAATATTTGGAGAATTTTTTACTTGTAGAAAATCCCATAATATCAATAATGTGACTAACTCAAAACCCTCCAGTGATAATGTAAAAAAAGGGAGAGTCGGGAGGGGGGGCTCATTGGCTTCTCACATATAACAACACAATGTATATTTCATAAAGAAATATATCCAGTAACTATTTTGGGGATATTTTATCCTTTCTTTTCATTCAGTAAATATCATCTAAGTTCTGTGTGCTAAGTACTATGTGGACACTAAGGCACACAGTAAGATGCAATAGCTCTTGTCCGTAGGGGAAACTATGGAGGGGTTTATTACCCACTTCCTTCTTCTGTTTTTTTCCCCTTTGGTTTTCTTTTGTTTTTCTTTTATTCTTTCCTTCCTTTCTTATGTAAAGAGCACAAATACCATCCTTACTCTCTCTCACATGACTCACATGCAAAAGTCAGCAACTGAGAGTGTATCCCCAGCTGATGTTGGCTTCCTCTCTGTGTGTTCTAGCGTTCAAAATAAATATTTAGCAATTAGGGCAAAATATGTTAGTGACAGCTGCAGAGGCTGAAGGCTTTTATTTATTCAGATATCCATTTCTCTTCCAAACATCAAGGTAATGGCAGATCCCAAGCTCACCACTTCTGAAAGTGCATACATAATTAAATCTCCATGTGCCTACATTTTGCTTTAATCTCTCCTACAACTGCAAGTAATGAGAGGTTCTTGAGTGTAACTTTAGAGGGTAATTCTTCTGGAAGAAAATTTTAGCTGCTCAAAAATGAAATGTGTCCTATCACAAATAATATACTTCCTGGGCTCCGGTGTTGACTTTATTTAAACCCACATAGCTGAGTTTATATGTGGAAGAATTAGGCTGCTGAGCAAAGGAGGCACTTTTCAAGGATATACACAGTTTGTATATTAATAGTGCTGTAGTCTAGGCACAGTAATTAATCTCATCTGATGAGGTATGCATGCTAATCCAGACTGTGGATATAATTGCTTTTGGAGTTTCCATAGCCTTGGACAAAGGAACAAAGATGTCCATTGCAGCAAAGTCACTCTTCTGTGTCTAGTGCTTTCTTCCAATCTGTTGTGCTCCAAGTCACAATAATGTTGATGTTCATTATCAAGATATTTAAGGAGATAAATACGAAGAGCTATGTTCAAGCCCCTGACATATAGCTCAAATGTGTGTTTTACTAAGAACTCCTCTTTTGTTAATTTATCAGCAAAGGTAATATATATATATATATATATATATACATATATATATAATAGATACACATCCAAATCAAATATAAATATTCTTTCCACTTTGTGGGAAGACAAAAATGCCAATCCTGTCATCCCTTGTTTCTCATAGATTGAAGGACTCTAACACAAATGTGCAGAACTGGGACAACTCATTTAATAGTTACTCGTGTTTGTCTCACACAGCATCTGGGGAAACTAGGGGGATTAACTCATCTGATGGAAATGCGAATTATTCACCATATCTAATACATGTGAGCAGCCATCAGCCCACATGTCAGTGTTAGCCAGTGCAAGGCAAAAAACTGCTGTTAGTTATATTCACCTTAATTATTGTCAATTGTAACCACTGCATAGATACTGATTAGCACACTGAGCAGCACAGATGAGATAAAGAATTTTGCATCTAGTCTTTAAAGAAACTGGTCTTATGATAGAAAGTTAAAAAGCTGCTTTTAGTCAAATATTAACCAATAATTCTAAATATACTAGAGTATATATACAGTTAAGTATCCTGGAGTCATCTCTCAGTACTTATGGAATATCCTAAAGTTGTTTTGTAGAGGTCTTGCTGGTGAACCTGTAACAGTGTCCATATCCCTTTGGGTATGGCTTCAGTCATTGTTTTCTATGCTCCAATAATATTATTGCAAGAAGTTTACAGATAAAATCCTCCAAATGTCCAGCCTTTACAATGTCTTCCTTGATCAGTGTGTCAGGGTTTTAGAATCGGTGGCTTAAAGTAATAAAATATGCATGGTCATGATTAAGGTTGCAAACCTCCTTAGGATTAGTAGCAGCAATCTAAAGCAAACTGATGTTTACATTTGAACACTACACACATGTGACATGTTCATTTCGCCACTGGCTCATCCGAAGGACTGGATATCTGAAAGTAAAGTCAGGGGTTACTATAGGCACCTACTCTTGTAGCCATTAAATAGCTGATATATTGGATTAGTGATCTCTTATGACCCTCTCAGGTACTATGCCATCTGAGAGTTACAATTCTGAGTGCTAAGTAACCTTCAGAAAATACCTAAATCTTGTTTTACCACTGGGTGTTTCATCTGTCCGGGAATAAAGAGCATTTTTACATATGATGCTTCTGTATAGATAGATGTAAGAATGCTGGGAAAAGATTCACAGGCTTAAATGTACAGTAACAAGAACCTAAAAGCCTGTGCAATATTTAACAGGAGTGTATTAGAATCACCTTACTCGAAATTGTATTTTATTCTGTTTCCCAAAGTTTGAGCAGTGGTTAATATATTATACACTGAGAAGCCCATTAATCTCTTGATTAGCATTTGTTTTCTTGTGTTTTCCTCAGAGACAGACCAACAAATGAGGAATGTTCTTAATTTGATCTCTGGAGTAATCATAGGTATGGATATTGTATCATTTAACAGATGTGCTAAACAAATGAGTAGAGTTTTTAATGTACATTTCTATGCACCAAGAATGCATCTGGCTTCTTAGCTGTGCTCGAGTTTGAAGGCTGAATTTTATTTCTCATCTAGATGAAATCTCCTGATCACATATAGTCTTAGGTTTCTAAAGAGAAGTTAAAATCAAAGAAGTTTTTCTTTTGAAACATAGTAAAAAATTTGAAATCCTTGTTAGCTGCATTTAAACTCATGTCAAACCTGTTTTTAAAAACATACCATCCAACCAGGCAGTGGTGGCACATGCCTTTAATCTCAACACTTGGGAGGCTGTGACTGGCATATCTCTGTGGGTTTGGAGCCAGCCTGGTCTACAGAGCAAGTTCCAGGACAACCAAGACTACTCAAAGAAACCCTGTCTCAAAAAACTGGAAGACCAACAAACAAGAAAAAACCCAAACAGAAAAGACACTATTCAAGTAACACTCTAGGCTGTTTTATCCCACCCTCAGAGCTCTTAGAATCCATAACCATTTACACTTAGGAGACCCTTGTTTACAGCACACTCACCTTGCGGTGGGCCTCCTCCGGGTGTAGCTGGTATAAGATGGGGGGCTGCCTTTAAATAATCTTATCCATTAAGTCCTCCCCATTTCTTTGTGCCAGTCCATCAGTACACAAGTCACTGCCTCCACTGTATGACCCCTTCACAGTAAAACAGAGTGTTTGTTTGAAGTTCCTTTTTAGGCAAAGACTTGTGTTTAACAATCTGCCTCTCTGAACTGCTGGACACACAGTGTGGGAGCAGAAGAGGGATGAAACCCTTGCTGGAAAGTATAGGGAAGCTTCTTACATGGAAAAGAGCAACAGGCAGAAGCCTCTTCATTCTGAGCACACTCACTTGGCTGACGGAAAGTGTGTCTTGAGTGGAGGTGCTTATCCTGGAAAATGGGTACAAAGCAGCGAAATTGGGGTTAGTCTCCATGCGCCTCTCTTCTTCTCTTCCCCTTCCTCTTCCATCTAATGCCAGCTACCCACATGGTGTACCAAGTGTCATCAGAGCACTGCTTCAGAGACACAAAGGCAGGCCCTCGAACATGGAAGGAAAGTTGCAGTTTATCAACACTTCTCAAAGCTTTCAGTGTTTCATTTCATTAACATCTTCTTTGAGTCACACTCTGCATTTTTCAGGGAACGAACTTCTTACTCGAACTCTTACTCATTTTATCTGATCTAAAAATATGGATATGCATTAAGAAATCCAGGCAGCCCTGGAAAAGAAAATGAGAGCAACAGTATGAGTGTTGTCTGGCTATAAATTGGGTGAGAAAGCAAGGGTATGTTTCAAAATAGGGCAAGTAAATGCTTTTCCACCTGGGCATACCTGGATATACTTAAATGGAGTCTTTAAAAGCACTGAAAGTGTGCATGGAAACAGCTTCTGAGACACTAAAGACTCTTAAGAAAGATTTCCAGTGCGCTGTGGGCAAATCAAATTGCCCTGTTGACTGGCGCAAAACATTAGAACATTTTTTTCAATTTTTGGTAGTTATTTAACAGTATTAGTTACACTGGAAGAATAAAGGGCAAATGTCCCAAACATCTAGACTCCTATTTTCTATTCTCAGACAAGAAAACCTTGTGTTTTACACATTCTCATTTTAAAGCCACTGTCAATTGTCATCAACCGATAAACTGTTTTTTATTCTTTTTTGAGACAGACTCTCATACTATAGCCCAACATGGCTTCAAAATCGTGGTGGTCCTCCTGTCTTGGCTAGAATGCCCAGTGCTGGTATTACAGACTGGAGCCACCACATCTGCCATAAACACTCCTCTTTCAAAGGTACTTTCTCGTCTTCCCTTTGTCCACACTTCATAAGCTGTTAAACTCCATATTGCTGCCGTTCTGCTCAAGAGTGGTGCCACTGGTTCATTTTCCATGTTCCTTATTCCATATTCTCTTTCTGAGAGTTGGCTTTGGGAGCTGATGAAACTGGAGTTGCTGGGGAAATTGAAACAAGAAACAAAATATACCTGTGCCTTTCAACCTTTTCCAGTAACACTCAAGTTGTGAGCTAGCTCATGCAAAGTGATGCAGGAGTAACAAACATCCACCTAAACTTGGTGGCTAAGAAGTACCAAAGTCCATTTTTTACTCGCATTACATCTTCACTGCAGGAGTCTTGTATGCTAAGTGACAGTGGTTGGCTTTGCCCACTGCTCTCACTCAGGGTCCTGGGAAGATGTTTCCCTGAACTTTGACTTTATGCTTGCTTGTAACAAACATGTTAGGAAGGCTAGTCGGTCCTCCTCAAGTTTTTGCTACTTCTGTGATATAGCATACTGATTTGTCCTCCTCTCTTGCCTCTTTTGGGTGCCTTTCACCTAGGAGGGAAGATATACATTGTGGGGCCTATAACCTGAAGTTAAATATTGTAACCTGGATCTGACCTGCATCACTCTGCACTATAGCTTATTGGCCAGAATTAATTGTGTAGGCCAGTCAGCCACAGAACATCTAGAAAATTCAATATTGCCCTATATGCAGGCAGTTAGAGGACAACTTTAGCAATGACCACTGGGGGGGGTGGTACCTGATCTTTCTTCTTAACACTGACTTAATAGTGACAGTAGACTCTCTTCAATTTCAATTTAATCATCTAATCATGCTTTGACTCAAAGTTCTCTAATTCTAAAATTCCACTCTGTGGCGCCTCCACTTAGTGCTTGTTCAGCCTACTTGAGACTAGGTTCAATCCCCTGCACAAGACAGAAGAAACGAAATAGGGAGAGACACGGGATTTGATCCTGAAGATCAGTCGGGATGATGGAAAAAATCAGATAAGTAATTTAAGTTCAGAAAAGATAATATTTGCTAAGAACATAAGTCAAGGGTGTAAGACAGATGGCTTAGCAGTTAAGAACATTTTCTGGTCTAGTTACTAGTGACTAGTAATTACACCTAAATAAAACAAATAGGAAAATATAAAAAAATAACATAGTTCAGGGTACAATTACTGAGAGCACAAGCCAAGCCCAACAGAGCAAAGGATGAAGAGAGACGGCAAGCCCATCTTTCCTGGCTGATGAGGCTCTGTCACTGTATCATCCTACAGTTTGAATCAGCCTTAGAGGAGGAAGACTGCAGCTCTCATGGACAGTGATGGCAGCAGGTATACATCCTTGAGAAAGTAAAATGCCTAACTGTGGCAGAAAAGAGCACAGCATGGACTAGAGATGAGTGAGAGCTGTTGACTGGGAACAAATCATGAAACCTTTTGTATAAAAGTTATTTTTTCTTGAGCCCATGCCAGCAGGGCAAGCTCTACCACACTGCCCAGGGAAACGGCAGGTCCACCTCTCCTGGCTGCAGCAGGAAGTGCTGAGCTGGCACTCTGCCACCCACTCCACCAGGGTAAGCTCTACTGTGCTGTTAGGCAAGGTGAGGCTAGCTCTCCCAAGTGCTATAGCCAGTAGGGATAGGGGCCAACTCACCTGCTATCATGCCTTTGGGACAACTCTCCCATACAGGGGAGGGGCGGGGCCAGCTCTCCTGAACCCATGCCACAGGGGCAAAATAGGCTTTTCTGAAGTCAGTGAGGGGCAGGGAAGCCAGGTAAGCACGGAATTTGGATATCAACCATGGTTTCAGGTGGCAGCCCAGACCATGGATATCTACTTGATCTTTGGTGGTAACATGGGCCAACATCAGCACAGACGATCCCAGATATTGCCCTCTGTGGTAACCCCTACCCAGACATCCCCATTGCCTTAGGTGTCAATCCATACCAAAGACATCTGAGTGGCCTTTGGTGGCAGCACGGGGCATAGTCATCAACACAGATTCCAGCTACAGTAGGGCCACGGACCAGATATGGAGAAGGAGAGCCAGTTCTGAGGGTGGGAGGGTGGGAGAGTTGGCCCTACCTCTTGGTGAGGCGGTGCTGGAGAGCTGGCTATGGTGATGTGAGTGAGGGAGAGCTAACCCCAACAACAGGAGAGCAGGTCCTGCCCCATGACAGCTTCCAGGCAGGAAAGCTGGCCCCACCCCTTCTCTGGGAAAAGTGGAAAGGCTGGCCTTGGAGGCAAGGGTGCAGGAGAGTGGGTGATCTGACCAACTTGACTATAATCCACGCCTAGATCCAAGACTTTGAGTTGTCCCACCCCAGCCTCTACCCCATCCACGAACTGCTAGAATATGTGAAGGGGCAGGTCCTGCAGATCCAAAGCTGCAGGATCTCCACGACACAGGCAAACAACAGGAAATCCAAGAGTAGTCCCCATGAGGATCCAGTATTGATGGTATAGCAGAGGCTAGAGGCCTTGAACCAGACCAATGACTCATTGCAATGAACAAATGAAAGTAAAGCTATCCGGGCAAAGGGATATACTGTGTGACACACTGCAGCTTCCATGACAAGATCTTCTGTTTGTAAGTTTGTTTTGGGTTTATTTTTAATTGTTGTTGTTTTCTTTTGTCAGAAGGTTGCAAGGGCAGAGGGCTGGGAGATGAGTGGGGTTGTGGAGCATGATGAGAAATTCAAAAAGAATCAATTAAAATTATTCTTTTAAGCAACAGAGACTTAGGGTTAGGGTTAGGGTTAGACTTAGGGTTAGGGTTAGGGTTAGAGTTAGAGTTAGGGTTAGGGTTGACTGCACTGGTATTACTGAAATGCCATTCACACTTTATTAAATAATATACTGTATTTGCTAAAAATGCTTTTTGTTTTCTAAACAGTGACTATAGTCTTAAATTTGAGCAGTAGTTGAGTTCTATACAAATGTGTTTTGTTTTGTTATTTACTCTGTCAGTATAGGACACATTATAATAAGACAAATGTTCTGACCTTTCAAAATGTTTGCTTCTTGGATTTAATATATACATCAATGTGTTTTTAGTCACTCACACACATAAATCATATTTTATATCTGAAAAATCTAAATATGTCCTTAATTTTAAAACAACTATGAGACATAAGAACTAATTGCAATGCCCGTTAGACTTGTGGTTATAGCAACTGCAATTTCCCCCATACTTAAAGATACCACTTTTTCATGTGTTTCAGTAAAAACACATGAAAAATGATCCAATTCATCATCTTAGAGTTAAAGTACATGTAGATGTTCAATGCTGAAGTGTCTATAAATTTTGATGTAGGCCTGAGTGAAAACAGCTTGAGTGAAAAATACCAAGTTGACAAAACTGGTCTCACAGGATTATGAAGAAAACATTATCAGAGTGTAAACTTTAGATTCCATTTTGGATGACTTGGCCACCTCACACAGAAGAAATCCCCCTCTAATTGCCATGTCCTTTTGATACCTAGATAACTTTCTACAACTGTTCTTTTCCCTTTACACTTTTACACTAAGCTAAGGATTCTCTCAATGGCTCAAAAGCCAATCAACCCTGTTGGTTTCTAACTTATTCTAGCACTGTGAATTCCATAGATCATTGTGGAGACTTTGTTTCATTTTACATTTTCTTTTTTTTCCAAGTTGTGTTAGATTGTCAGGTTTTATTTCATACCTCAAATAAAATATATCTGAATTTTTCTTCTTGTTTGTCTTTATTTGTATGTTGATTTGAATTAATACATATAAGTGCATTTGTCTTTTGTTCTGGGGGCTGACTCTCTTGGCTGTTTCCAAGGAAAAACAGTGTCAAAGACTGCCTTAATAATTCTCAGAGGTAGACCAGTAATCACAGACTACAAGCCAGTGCTCATGGGGCAGGTGTAACTCAGAAGAGGGATTGATGGACTCAAATGACTAAAACTAGTATCAGAGGGGAAATTGTAGGAAGAAAGCATGATTTCTCAGAATAAACAGAGGTCCTGGATCTGGGAAATATTTAACCACATCGTAAACACTACATTCTGCCCCTAATGTTCTTAGAGTAGGGGTCATTGTGCTTTCAAAACCCAAGAGCTCCGCCATTATCGCAGAAGTAGACTGGAAAATATTAGAGGCAATTTAAAATAATTGTTGTAGTAGCTGCCAGTTTTATAAAATGCTCTGAACTTTCAAAACTGGCTTTTTACTGTTACTCTTTTATTTCAGTGGCCTATTTATACTAAAAAAGCTATAGGCTTAAAGAAGCCTTTATTTTTATAAATTTTATCTGCAACTTTCTTATAGACTCAGGAGTTAGATGATGACATTTCAGGTTAACTGTGAGCAGCAAGCTCCTGAAGGAGGCAAGTTCCAAAGGAAGTAGCGAAGCTTCTTGGTGCCACTGTCTTTTTCATCCATAACAAAATAGAAAACAATATTTTTAGTATAATCTTTGTCCCATGTCCACTGTCCTGTAAGGAGCCTGGACTTGGAGGAAACCTGTCACTCTCCCCCCACTTTCCCACTTCTTCCTTAGTCCTTGTTTCTTTCACCAAGGAGCACAATTCAGATGTTTTGTTGCAAGAACTTCTCTTTAAAATTGGCATTTCCATTTCTCTCTATTTTTATCACATTACTTTAAAATTGTGTTTTTTGGCTGACACAAAAATTTTAGTCCAGCATCCTAAGAAGTTTACACATAAAAATGCACATGAGAGATACTGAACCATTTGGTCTTCCTCCAACGTCCTCATTTGGAATGAGAGAATAACTATGCTTCACCTTCAACCCTGGAAGCCAGAGCAAGTTAGAGGGTGGAAAGCATTTGCACATTTCTCCTGTTTCATTCTTACCCTAGCCTGTGAGCTAAACAAAGCATCATGTTACTTTATTATGGAAAACTCTGGGACTGGAGTAATAATCTGTCCAAGCTCTCCTGACACTATTAACTCTAGGCCTGAGTGTGGTCCAACAGGTAGATCACTGTGTGTTGTTTCCAATTTTGAGTGCCATGATGAGGTTTTCGTTTTGGTGGAATGTATGGGTTATCCATCCAGAAGGGTAAGTTCAGGGATATGGAGATTGGCTTCACAGGAAATTAATTCAAAACTTAGGTAAAATGATGAGATTTGAAGTAATACGATGGTAATGGTATTAGACAAATTT